GGGGAGGGGGGCGCAGAGAGAAGTCCCCCGTGTCGCCATCGCAGCCTCCAACTGGAACCTGTAACCTTGTTGCTGGTCTACTGAGACCCGCCCTACCCATGGATGGCACTTGGCTCCTACAGGTTCTGTGGGGTTTTCCATGGGGTTCTCCTGTCTCCTGAGAACTCAGGTCCACCCTCCCCCAGGCTGGACAAGAGGAAGGGGTAGCCCCTTCCCGCTCACCAGGGCTCAGACCAAGGCTGGGGCATCGGGGCCTGTGGCCACCTGCTGGTCAACCTCACTGACAGAGATGCTGAGCTGGCTCCTTTTAAGTTCAAAAGTGAAATCGGGTGAGTGGAGGGCCGAGTGGTTCCCAATAGCAGGTCAGCAAAGGTGGACTCACTGAGTGGAGCCCAGTGACCGCTCAGGGACGCCACGGGACACATGGCTCCAGGAAGAGGCTGGTTTCCTGACAGTCCAGCCTGTCCTGCCTCCTTGGCTGGCTCTCAAAACCTGAGTCTGGTTCAGCCAGCCCACTGCCCCACTGCTTCCAATAAAGCCTGTGGCTACTTAACCTCAGCCTCTTCAGGCCTCCCGTTTGCACCTCCACTGGCCCTGCTGCTCCCGTCACTGGCCCTCCTCTCCGGGGCCCAGTATGGACCCTCCTCTTCACTAAGGCCCAGGGAGAAATCGTCCAGTGCTTAGGGTGCCTGTGTCTCCGCAGAGGGCATTCCAGAAAAACATGTCAACTCCAAAGGAACTATGGTCCAAAGGAACCATGGTCCAAAGGAACCACAAAAACATTTCATGTCCTTGCCGTCCTATGGTGGCATCACTACCATCTGTCACCTGCCTGCTCACCTCCCAGATTCCTCATTGGCTCCAGCTGCAGCACAGCCCTGGTCCCAGTCCCTCCCTGGTCCCCGGTACAAAGGGAGGGACAGGCTTCTCTCTCCTCTGGGAGCTTTCTCTCCAGGTGGAATTAACTAGAGCTGAGGCGTGACCCACGCCCAGATCCTGAGACTGCTGGTGGCCACCATCTAAGGATGTATCAGACCCTAAAGTCGGTGTTTTCTGGCAAGCGTCTCCTGGGGAGCATTTCTGTGCTTTCTGCAGGTTCTGAGCAGCAGGGGCTTGGACTCAGTTCCTGGGAGAGCAGCTGCTGTTTGCAGCAGGGAGACTCATGGGGCGTCCCCTTGCCCACCTGTTGTCTTAATTTTAGGGAGAACCTATTGGCTGAGAGATCATCCACCTGGAACACAGCTTGGCAGCCTCTCCTGCTTGGTGCCTGCTGGGCACGGTGGCAGTGCACGAGCGCCTTACACTAGCGTGGATTTGGGGGAGAAACAGGAACAGTGCCCAGCAACCTAGAATTGTGACTGGCATGTCTCCACGACAAAGGAACCTGGAGCCAGGCAACCTGCATGTCCACCAGGTATGGTCTGGGCCAGGAGGAACACAGCTGGTCTTGGGGACATGAGCCTGGTGTGGCAGGGGAACAGGTTGGGCCCAGCCCCTGGTTCACATCTCAGTGCAGCACCTCTGGGCAGCCCCTTAGCTCTGATTAGAGCTTGTCTGGTGGCCATGAGGGACTGTCCAGCCAGGGATGCAGTGGTGGTGGTGGTGGTGGGGAACAGCAGAGGAGTCTAAGCCTTTCTCCAAAATGAGGCTGTGTGAGCCTCATGGGGGTGTGGCAGGGGGGGTCAGGAGAGGGTCGGTCTGCATGATGCCCATGCGGTCAGTGACCTGTTGACTCAAACCCAGAAAAACTGTGGCTAAGGTCCCAGGGCAGATGGTGGGGTCTGGCCTGAGTCACTATGCCCACTTTAGGTCTGGGACTTCTAGACCCCTCCGGCCTCTCTATCCAGGTTCCCTCTCGCCCTGCCCCCTACCCAGCAGAGCAACTGGGAAGGCCTGCTGGGCCTTGACACACCTAGTCCACCACCCGCAACATGGAGAGCAGACCTCACGCTCTCAAAGCCCATTGACTGGGAGGGTTAAGGGAAAACACACTGATGAACCCTGAGGTTTACTTTTTACTTGGGTGTAGGAGTGTCCACTCTAAGACTATCTAGGGAGGGAACAGTGAGCAGGTAAGCAGCCAGGTCTCCAGGTGGGCCGCACTCCTGCCCAGCTTGGGCACAAATGTGCAGGGGCTGCTCCCACAGGGGCTGGGGTGGGAACAGGCTGCTCTTCTCCCATCATCACCCCACTGTCCACATTCTGAGCTTTCCCACAACAGCTTTCAAACCAGGATGAGGTAACCTGGGGCCTGGGCCAGGGCAGGTGTGAGTCAGGCAGGGGCCCCAGGCGCCCTCAGCCTTCACACACAAATCCCCTGCTTTTGGCAAAACAAATGTGGTGCCTGGGCCCCAGCTGCTCTCTGGGACGCTCAGCAGAGCACGGAAGCGATTTCCTAATCCCTGGATCCCAGGACTAGGTCACGGTGCCTACAAGTGAGCAAGGCGGGGCGAGGCGACCCAGTCTCGGGGGTGACAGCACCAACCCCAACCCCAGAGGAGGACTCCACAGGGGGACCCACACTTACCTGCCCGCCCTCGTCGAACTGGCCCACGTGAGAAAACCATGCTCGAGAGCAGAACCAGGTGGGCATGATCACAGTTGGGCCATTGGAGGTAAAAACCTAGAGCAATTAACATGCTGTTTTTAAAAGTGAGAAAACAAAGCTGAAACGCATGAAAGGGTACAGATGATGACAATTTAGGTGAAACGGACAAATTCCTAGAAAGGCAACCATCAAAGTCACTCAAGAAGAAATAGAGAATCTATATAGATCTGTACAAGAAAGAGACGGAGAGTTGTAAATAAGCTGGGGGTCCTGCCCAGGGCTGTCCACAACCCGAGTCCATCCCACCAGGAGGCATGTTTGCCAGAGAGAAGGAAGAGAAATCCAGAGGCTGAGCCCAGTGGCTCTTAGGTTTCTTCTGCTCAGTGTGGGAGGAGAGGGAGGAGTTTTTTCTGAAGACGCAACACAGCCGATCAAAGCAAGATCAAAGCAAACTTAGCCCCATGTGGCTTGAGCCCTCCAGAGTCTCCCAGCTCCCGATTCACAGGGAGTCGCCCAGATCTTCCTTAATCGCCCAGAGCAACACCTATAATTTTTCAGGGCTGCTGCTTCCCAGACATTTCGTAAAGCATCATACTTTCTCAGTCTTATTGACCTCCACCCCCCAATACTACTCAAGCAAGATAGAACAGTTTCCAAAGCATTTCGAAATGTTTTCCTCAAGAAGAGAGAGAACTTCTGTCCCAGGGCATTTCTCAACCTTCCTGCCTTTCACCAAGCTTCCAGGTGGGGGTGCCGGGACCCCGAGGGGCTGTCTCTCCACTCCTTGCACTCACCCCTTTCCCATGGACTGGTGTCTCCTCCAATAAACACTCATTCTGAATTACCTCTGAGCCACATTTGCGGAAATTCTGGAGGATCCACCTATAGCTCCAACAGAGCAAGCCTCAGATCCGTTCTCGGGGGTTCAGGGCTATGTTGCTCACAGCCTCCCTCCAGCCCAGCACACGGGATGTGGGACCTGGGGCCGTTCTTGCTCCAGTCAGGGAGGCAGGGAGGTTGCCTCCAGCTGCTGGTTTCCTCTCCCCTGTCCTATCAAGTGACACCTAACGCAGTTCGTAAGAACTTTTTATGATGAACTCCTAGGATCGAAGATTTTAAAATTCAGGCAGTCTCATAAAAATCAAAGAATGGAAAACCAGAAAAACCTGGTTAAAAAATGTTCCCTAGCCCTAGGCCGGGTAGCTCAGGTGGTTAGAGCATCGTCCCAATACCAAGGTTGCGGATTCAATCCCTGGTCAGGGCACATACAAGCAGCAACCAATGATGTATAAATAAGCGGAACAACAAATCTCAATCTCTCTCAAATGAGTTTAAATGAAAACTGCTGCTTTGACTGCTGAGCTTGGACAGGCCAGCATCCTCCCTCCTGTCTCCCCCACTCCTGGGGTCTGAGAGTAAACAAGGTGCAGAAGTTGCAGAAAACTCAAGAATTCTTGGAACCCAAATGAAATAGGCCCAAGAGGCATAAATGCTTTCATTTTGATATTTTTCATTCTTACACATTCAGGTAAATTATGGGCAACTGGACCTGTTAATCAGGTGACGACACTGAGGGGGACGGGAGGTCCGCACAGGCCCAGCAGAGGGCGCTCTGGGCCACGAGGAGGCCTGGGAAGAGCACCAGCAGGAGCAGTTGTGGGTCAAAACCAGGCCTCAGGCCACAAGGCCCAGCAGTGGCTCCCAGTCAGCCCCCTGCGGCTTCGTCCTGTGATGGACACAGAGCTGGCTTCACTGCGGGGCTGCCCCCCACTCATCACCAAGGCCACCCCCTTCCCTCCCATGAAACTGATGCTGGGACTTTCTAATCCTTTTCATTGATATTTGTCTCCACTTTCAAGCTATCACTCCCTGCCTGTGTCACCAACTAAAAAAAAAAAAAAATCAGATAATCCAGTTTCTTAGAATTTTGTCAAGATGGGCCCAGGCTGCTGTTCTGGGAAGCTGGGTGAGTTTGGGGCTCTCCCCTTGTTTTGCACCAACAGAAAGTACACTTTGCAAAAATGAATTGTATGTAGCTCTCAAACCTTAAAAATCTATCCCAAGGTGCCTCGCATACAGAACAAAGGGAAACAGACTCCGTAAGCCACTGGCAAACTTGTCCTTGGTTCTCAAGAAGGACACGTGGATACGGAAACTTCAAATGCTTTCAGTGCTTAAAAGGAAGAGCGTGTGGATGAGACTCAACATGGGCTCAGTGTTTACGTAAAGAGAAGCCCCAGAGTCAGAAGCATTCAGAGAAACTCACAGGCTGAGCTCATTATCGAGTCTCAGCAGGAAGTGATATGGTTCTTACAGAGAAAGAGCAAAGTTTACATGACTCATTACCAGATTTCTGTGGCTGCTTATCCTTATTTCTAAATTCTAATTTGTTGGAAGACTATCTTTAGACAGATAACAAGTTTTCCAGGATTCTGACATTTTAACACCCACATAGCAACAAGAATAAACTTTGATGTGAAACCCAAAGCCTATGGCTTCTGGATTTAATAAAGGCACGACGTTAAATGCTTCCTTTCCCAGCCACGTTTCAGAGAAAGCTGGTGAGCACCCGCTAGTCCACCACGCTGAACATCACTTGTTTACAGGGACCTAGACCACAGATACCGCTTTAAGATACTCCCTTTAAAGAAGAAAATGAAACATGGTACAACTGAATCCACGTCAGAATACTTCGGATTTTTAAACTTCACGAGCGCTGACTGGATTGAGTTAGGTGTGAAGATGTGAAACTTCATGGTTTTACCCAAACCAGGCAGGTTCCAACCATCTTGCTGTGGATGCTGCTGACAAAGGAGCAGCCCTGTCAGAACGCTGCCCTCCCGTCCAGGCCCCCTCTCGCCTGCGTCTGCCCCACTCCCGTCTCCAGCCCTCTGGCTCCTGCTCCTTCCCAGGCAGGCTCCTCTGAAACGCTGTCCCCTTCCCCAGTGAGCGCCTGGCACCCTGGAGGTAGGAAAACCAGGTGCTAAAAGGATGAACCAAGCCCCAGCTCAGCATAAGAGACTGGCCAATTCCCAGACTGGGCAGCAAGTACCTGGGTAAGAAGCTGATCGGATGTTAGCTGGTTGATCCAACGCATGTATCGTTCTGTGGAGTTGGGGGGCTCTCTCCTCACTTGGCAACCTATGATCTGTGAAACAGAAGTCACTGAGTTCACGCATGCACACACCTGCATGTCTACCTCTCACCTGGCACAAACTGGCATCTCTGGGCTGGATTAGGGGAAACCTCCAGAGTAAAGGGAGGAGAGGCAGGCGGGTTCTCATGATGGATCCTACACTGGACGGCCCTGGGTAATGTGTCTGTCTTGTCACAGATAACGCTCCCCCTGTAATGTACACAAACTCATGACAACTCCAAACACCCTATTTCTTCTAGAAACGCTCTTCATGAACCTCAGCTCAGAGGAGACGTGAGCAGGTCGCTGCTATGCCTCTGGAAGCGAATCTGAGCAGCCCATGTCTCGCCTCCTGAAAGCAGTAACCTCTGTCCCACAGCTGATCTCTGCTCAGAAAGGTTCAGGACAAATGCCACAGTGGGAGCTGCCTAGTGACACCAGAAGTTCTGCAGAGAACTTGCGGCTGCACCACGTATGGAAGCTGCCCAGGGCCTTGCCTTCACAATTAGGTGGTTTTCTTGTAACCTGCTTTCAGAAAACAGTGACCAAGGGCAAGCATACACTTAGCGTTCATTTCATTCTTTCCGACTAAACATATGATATAAATGACAAAACTACCAACCAGCAACTGCAAATTAAGATTTTGTAGGTCATGATTAAAAAAAAAAATCCAACCCCACAGTAACAAGCTCTCTAAAGCTGCTTTGCTCTGATGCAACCAGACTGTGAGGACATCTGTGGTCTCCGCTGAAAACCTGCAATACAGGAGCTGGCTCCACAGTAACGGCGTCGACCTACCCGGCCGGCCAGAGAACATGCAGGAGAAAACAGTTTCTCCTGAACGTAAATTCAGTAGGTTAGCAAGAAAACCTTTAACCTAGAACTTGATAAAAATGCAGACTAAGGTGGTTTTAATTAAGATGGCAAGAAACTAACACCATCTGCCTTTTTCCCAAATTCCTTGCGTGTCGGTAGATATCATGGTCCAGCTGAGCCTGTGCGTGCAGCACCTCCCAAAATGTGGAATACACGTCAGTGCTGGGAAACTGCAGTGCCATGGTCACTCTGAATGAAGACGCATCTTCCGTGAGGACGGTTCACCCAACTGCTCAAACACGCCATCCTCCTTGCC